GCCGCCGTCCCCGCCGCGGCTCTACCTGGAGCGGCCGGCGCTGCGCGCAGCTCTGCCCGTCACCTTCACCTGTCTCCTAGCAACGCGGCATCCCTGCCGCAGGGGACCGCGCCGAGCATCCTTGGGCCGCCCCAGCTCCCGGCCGCCGCTCCGGCTCGCCAGGGAGCACCTGCCTCTGCCGGTGCGCGGGGAGCGCTCGGAGGCCCCTCCGGCAGGGCAAGGTGCGGGGGGAAACGCCGGCGGCTGCAGCCGGGGGTAAACAGTGTCACTCAGTGGAGACGGTGGCGGCAAAGTCGCTGTCCCCACGCAGGTCTCCTTGCCAGCCGCGACTCCCCCTTCACGTCCCTTTCCAAAGCGAGTGCCGATTTTTAGAGCAAGAAGGACAGCGGCAGGGGGAGGGGAAGGGGTGGGGGAAACGGGTCTCAGCAAGACCAGGCTGGTCCCTGGCTCCCTGCGTGCACCTACCTGCGCTAACCGGTTCGTGATCACGGCACCAAAGAGCCAGAGATGTCATGGAAAAGGAGCCTCAAAAGATCACACAGCCCAACGCCCTGCTCGGAGGCAGGGAAGCCAACTTTCCCTTTCAGTCCTGAGAAAAGGTCTGTGTAAAGCACTCTTCAAAGCCTCCCTCAGTGGCAGTCCCAATAACTCCTTCTCCATCTCTTCCACAGTACCCTCCCTTTGGGAGGTTTCCCCAAAATCTCCTTCACTGCCACAAATCAAGCTCCCCTTGGTGCCATCTCCATCCGGACCTCAAAAGGTAGATGCAACCCTCAAAAYACCTGGTGTCCTCATATCTCCTGTCACACCTTTACTGACCTACCTATATAAATATTCACTTGTGGGAATTGCCCCACCAAGTCCGTGTGATGCCCAGCTAATTCTTACATCTTGCCGTGTGCTAAGATTTTCTGTTTATTCCTCTCCTTGCATGAGCTCAGAGGCAGTGAAGCTGCTCCACATACCCGTACCCCGTGTGGCTGTTGAACCTCCTACATCTCAAGCCCCTCACAGCTGAACTGGCCCTTGTGGACAGGAACACAGGTGAGCAAAGGGAAGTGCTGGCATATATCTGTTTTTATCTACTACTGAGGCAACCACAACTCTTCCAGGCTTTCAGATCTGGGTTCTCCTTGTGGTCAGCTGTGTGTTGATGAGAGCCTTCATTCCTATCCAAAAGCAGCCCGGAGATTCATGGAGGTAACACTCAGGAGCCCAGGACTCCAACCCCATGACTTCTCCAGGTCACAGCACATCATATGCGCCATTCTTGCACCCATTATCCTGGTGGGACGACCAGCTGTAGCCACAGAATAATCCTGATGTGGAAAGAAGGGGAAGTGGGAAAACTTTTAGGCCTATTTCTAATATGAGTTGCTGGCAAGCCAAGATAGGAGAAGTCTCCTGACCCGTCTCTATCAAGCCGCTCCAGACCATATCATGTGAGTCCCTGCTGATGGAGATCTTAAAAGCAGTTCACTCTCTGCCCTCACATCTCTGAAGAGACCGTGGGCCAGGGACCTTGCAGCCCTGGCTTTCTAAGCCCCGGGGTAACGTAGCCATGGTGAGGTTTTTTCCCATTTGTTCTTGTGCCCACGCTGTCCTTTAGAATAAACCGTTCTTTCTCCTCGCTGSTGTTTCCACCCACCCAACGTATTTCTGCAATCCCATCCCCTCTCAGCCTGCAGTGCTACCAGGCTAAACAAGCCCAGTTCTTTTAACCTCCTCCCCCTAGATTCCCGTTTTCCCACCGTCTCCACTGCCTAAGCATTTCCAAAGCCAAGGAGGCACATGATGGGGAGGAGAAAGGCCCAGCAGCCTGTCCTGGGACCTGAAGGAGGTTGAACCGGGACGAGGAGTGAGCTCCTCAGCTTCATCACCACAGTCGATTACTGTCCTCCTCTTCCTCCTCCTGCGATGGGCACTATCTCTCAGGACACAGCAGCAGCCCCCTCAGGACTCTGCGTGTCCATCACACCAGGCCTCAGAGTCCCCCACCCAGGGCTGCTCAATCTTTGCGCCACCAATGAACTTCCTTGATGTCCCTACGGCCAAGCCAAAGAGGAGCCTCGTCCTGTGCAGCCCTTRGAGGTGACAGATGCCCCCCCAAAAGAGGTTGGGCACTGGGACACTCTGCCTCCATCAGCAGGGGAGGATGAGGAGGGTCTTGAGCCACACYGGCTGCAACGCACTGCACCGAGCCCTTGGGAACAGAGCAGCACAAGTCACGAAGGGAAGATTCAGTGCCATGAGATGTGACACATCTGGAGGCCACTTCAGCTTGGAGCCGTGTCCTTTCTCTCCCCTCTCCTTCCTACTCCAAATCCGAAGCCATCACATTTAGAAGCTCCTGGGGAAGGAGGGAGGTGGATGGACGCGCAAGCACCAAGCAGGCCCAGGGGACCCCACACTTTGTCCCCTCGGAGAGCAGCTCCACGGGGGGACGTCGCTCCACGGGCAGGTCCCACGAGCCAAGTCGGGTGGCTGCTTTGCTGCTCTCCCGCCGTGACCGCCCCGCCGCGACCGTAGCTCCCGTCACGCCACAGACAATAGCAACGCGCCCATTTTGTGGATCATCTCCTCGGGCCACACTCACCGTCCACGTGGCAGTTAAGGAAACGGGACGGATTTCTGGGCTCTGAAACCCCCGTGGACACGACAGGCTCTTTGCASGGCGCTCCACCACCCAGCCCAGCATGGAAATCACCCTTATTGCCGTGCCAGCTCCACCTGGCATCTCCTCAAACACCACCCCGAATCCTGAAACCATTTAAGACTTTCAGATGTGCCCAGCAAGCTAATGGCCTTTAAAACGCAACGTCTTTTTGCTGTCCGAGCACTAAGATTACCTAAAAATAGCCTTCTCCTATGATTTCTTTGCAGCACTTCCAATACCTGTCAAAACGCCCTGAGCAGCTGCTGATTTTTGGGAACAGGCAGGCAGCAAATTCCCCCCGCAAGCAAAGCGCGGGCAGCGTGGGCAGGCGTTTCTTACCCGTGTGCTCCTTTCCCATAGCCAGGCGGCTCGGCCGTGCCGTGCGCGCGGCTCTCGCAGCCCGCGGGGACGTTATCTGCTCACTGCACCTTGCCGACGGGCACGGAGCCCGTCATGCTGCGTGAGCAGCCGGCCGCGGCGAGACGTCAGCCGGCGCGGGAGCCCGGCCGCCGCCGCCGCTGCCTCGGCCTTAGATCTCGCCCGTGACACCCCGGCCTCGCCGCGGTGACGCAGGGCGCCGCGCGGGGGTCCCGGGGCGAAGGGAGGTCCCGGCGGGCACAGCTTGCAGCTCCTGTGAGGTGCTGGTCAATGTCCCCTTCTCCCCACGGGTGGGCTGGTTTGGGGCTCTCCGGGGGGATGCCACGTGCGCCCACGGCTCCGTGGCTTCGCACTGACCCGCTGTCCCACGGAGGACACGAGATCCTGGCACGACGATTCGATCCCGGGCAAGCGCGCGCYGAGAGAGACCTCCTCGCCTCTTTGCAGCGTCTTGGCACCCAAAATATCCACCCAGCTGTCCCTCCTCTCCCTCGCCCCACTCCGTCCCCAGGCCGCACGCTCAGCATTAGCAGTGCACTTGGAAACTCCTGTGGCTGCAAGCTCGTACGCTTCCCCCCTGCACACCGTTTAAGCTCCCAGCACGAATCGGGACCGCTCTTGATCCCGAATCTCCTCTCGCCATGCTCACAGGGAGGCCCTCAGGGCTGCCCCTTTGCTCCTCAACACCCTACACCRTGACCGGTTTCGCTGCAGGTGGCCCTGACCCTCTCGTCTCAAACATCCTCACCCTCCCATCTCATCCTCCATCTCCAGCCTCCTGACAGCCCCTCGAGGGCCGATGCTCCTGSTCGCACAAGGAAACCTGCAGGAGCGATTCCCTGCCCAGCTCAGCTCATCTGCTCTCAGCGAGGCCGAGCACAACCTGGGAAAGTGGCTTCTGTGGCTTCGTGGGAGTGTGTTTTGTTTGTCACGGTTGGGGTTTAGCTGCAAAAATAAACCCGTTGCAACGCTCCTGGCGAGCTTCCCTCCACTTCAGGCCTGCCAGGCTCTTCCTGCCAGTGGTGTTTCCCTGTTTTCCTTTCCACTGGGGTTAGCCCAGGAAAAACGGGATCTCTGCCTGATCTCTGCCCCAAGCTGGTSCCTCTGTCAGGCCCTTTCCGCGGCTCCGGCACCGGTGCCCAGGGGACATTCCCGTCATGGCAGTGGGGAGACGTTTCCCTTTGGAGCCGGAGGATGTGTCCCCCTTTGCCAGCACCGCAGCAACAGGGGCTGGGCCTGGGGGCTGCTGGTGACTGCGGGGGGCGACTGGGGAGGGGACTAGGAGAACTGGATGGACTGGGGACACTTGGGGGCACTGGGAGCAGCAAGGAGGGACTGGGGGCTCATGCAGGGACCGGGGTCAGCTGGGGGGTGAGTGGGAGGCTGGGGGGACTGGGGACACTTGGGGGCACTGGGAGCAGCAAGGAGGAGACTGGGGCTCATGCAGGGACACCGGGGAGCAGCTCTGGCACACTGGGCACGACTGGGGGGTGACCAGGGAAGAGTCGGGGAGCAACTGGGAGGGAACTGGGGACAATGGGGGGCA